CAAGTGTAATTTATATATTGCTAAACATGTGAAATGAATGTGTATTTCATTTTCTTTAAGCCCGGCATGGCCAGGTGGTTAGGGCGCTCGACTCGCAATCAGAGAGTCGCGGGTTCGAATCCCCGTCAACCCTAAAATGCTCGCCCTTTCAGCCGCGGGGGCGTTATAATCAGACGGTCAATCCCACTATTCGTTGGTAAAAGAGTAGCCCAAGAGTTGGCGGTGGGTGGTGATGACTAGCTGCCTTCCCTCTAGTATTACACTGCTAAATTAGGGACGGCTAGCGCAGATAGCCCTCGTGTAGCTTTGCGCGAAATTCACAAAACAAACAAACAAACAAGCGTCATAAATCCAGAGATTTACCATTGAGCCACTGGGGTGGAGGTACGAAGAAATGATTGGATTAAATGTGATTATCACCATTCAGAATTAAACTGATTCATTAATAAATTATGCCAATTCCCACTTCTGGTCGTATTATTATGTGATCAAAAATTCAAAACTTTGTTGAAGTAGGAAATTAAACTAGAAAAGAAATCGTTTCTTCAATTATTGGAAACATTATCGTATAAATTATTAAAACATATTTGAATACGTTTATTATTCATAATAGGAGTCTTAGTCGGAAATTCTATGCTCATTATTCTTTTAGAAGAACTCAAATAATATCAAGTTTCCCCTAGCGGTGTCCTTATAAATTAGTTTGTTTTTTATGAATCATTACGGATATCATAAGGAAACTTGCTTTAAAACGTACTTCTATATCAAAATACATTTCCTCGGAGACACATTTGTTCTCAAAGTTTGGACACGATTTAAAAATTGTAACAGAGGGTTTTCATAATACTTACTGTTACCCCCCCCCCCCGTGGATCAACAGTAAGTTTCCGGAATTACAACGCTAAATTCCGGGGTTTAATTCCCGCGATAGACAGAGTACAGGTAGCCCATTAGGCAGCTTTGTGCTACAGCAATGACCACAGCTTATTGGCATTCTCCGTCAGTATATTAAGCTGTCCCCCCCCCCAATGAATCTATTGTAAACACCACCCGTTCTGCATAGTATTAAATGTTTCTCTCAATATATATATATATAGAGAGAGAGAAGAGAATAAAAGAAATGTTAGTTTGTGAGAAAAGTTCTTCAGATATGGTTTTGAATTACTGAACCACACACAAATATAACCTATGACTCTCTGTGCAGCCTGGCATGTCTTAGTGTTATGACTCTCTGTGCAGCCTGGTCATGTCTTAGTGTTATGACTCTCTGTGCAGCCTGGCATGTCTTAGTGGTATGACTCTCTGTGCAGCCTGGCCATGTCTTAGTGGTATGACTCTCTGTGCAGCCTGGCCATGTCTTAGTGGTATGACTCTCTGTGCAGCCTGGCCATGTCTTAGTGGTAAGGGTGCTCTACTCGCAATCTGTTGGTCGTAGGATCGAAGACCGCTACCGAACATGTAATAATTTCAGTCGCGGGGGGGAGTTATATCATGACAGTCTATCCACTATTCCTTGATATATAGTAGCCCAAGAGGTGGCGGTAGGTGTTATTAACTACTTTTCTTCCTACTAACCTATCACTTCAAAATTAGGGACGGCTATTGCGTATATTTCGCGGGTAACTTCGCGCGAAAATTCAACAGACAAGACTGTTAATGTGCGTCTGGTGTCTAGAGATACGATTTAAAAATAAAATAAAGCCGAGTTATAAAAGCAGCTGCGTTTGTTGAGGATTGTCGTTTTTTTGTTTATATATATATATATATACCAAGGTTGGGTCTGATTTCAAACTTTTAGGTTTTTAAAGTTTTCAAATGTTTAATAGAAGTAATAATATCAAAATTATTATTAAATAAGATAAATAAATGATAATGAATTAAGAAGTAAGATTGGTAGTTTCTGGCCTGTTGCCTCTGAACGAGGGCCCGGCATTACGGACGGCACCATCCTACCTCTACTACGCTATAACTGAGGTGCTGCGATGGGACTCCATTATCGGAAGGAGACAAACCTGCTCTTGTCCGATGATTATTTCAAATATAATCTATTATTTATTACTTAGTAGAACCTATTTACGAACGTCAATTCTCGACCTTGAAACATTACGACTAGATTTAATGATGTTTTCTTTACTATATTTTACTTCACGTTTTGACTTGTACAACACGTTACATATGTTTAAATCCATAATTAGAAATTCCATTTAACTGCATTCTACAAAAGTATAGATTTCTCACAGCTGTTTTCCGATTTCAATTACGTTTCATAACCATTTGTTTTGTAGCTGTTGAAGTGGGGCCGGGCGTGGCCCGGTGGGTAGCATGCAGATTGAAAAGGTTAAAGCAAGTTCGTGTCATGATATACCGTTAAATACGCATCACACTTCCCTGTTGAAGTGGGGCCGGGCGTGGCCCCGTGGGTAGCATGCAGATTGAAAGGTTAAGGCAAGTTCGTGTCATGATATAGGGCCGGGCGTGGTAGCATGCAGATTGAAAAGGTTAAAGCAAGTTCGTGTGTCATGATATACCGTTAAATACGCATCACACTTCCAACTGTACAAACGTTGTAATTCTAACAGACAATCTTGCTATTCAATTAACTAAGCGTAGCCGTATAGGCGATGAACGTTACTGACTGCTTTCCTTCGCTCTGATCAGTAGCTCAAAATTAGAGGAGGATATACTTAAACCTTGGACGCTCTGGTTGAATTGACCACATATTTACATCTTCATTAAATTTACTATTTTCTTTTCGAGAAGGTTTGGAATGATCTGGTGGTTAAATAATTCGACTCTTAATCTGTGGGTTTGCGAGTTCAAATCCAGTCACTGAGCATGTTCACCCTTTCAGCCGTAGGGAGAGGGAAGTTATAATTAATCCCACTATTCGTCGATAAAGAGTAACCTAAGTGTTGGCGGCGGTGGGTGTTATTAATTAGTTGCCTTTCCTCTAGTTTATCACTTCAAAATTAACAATGACTAGCGTAAATGGAGTAGAGCAGATTTGAGGGAAATTCAACAAAACAAGCCCTTCGAGAAATGAAATCTGTATAACTTTAAGGGTAGTTTAATGACCGGTGCAAAAATAAAGAGTAATACATTAACATTTACATATACAAAAAAAACTATGTTTTTCACTTTTGATAATACCATTTTTAGTCAAAAACTCATTATGCTGTTATTGATAATTAACCAATAAAAAAAAACGGAAAATCAGTCTAAACAAAATGAATAGCTGATCTAATGATTACAAAAGAAAATAAGAACTTTATAATATAACTATAACCCAACGAACTTTGAATTAATTTAAATATCACCACATTCAAAGCCAAATTGATTTTATTGTATGTTTGTTTTTTGAATTTCGCACAAAGCTACTATACTCTATCTGCGCTAGCCGTTCCTAATTCAGTAGTGAAAAACTAGAAGGAAGGCAGCTAGTCATCACCACTCACCGCCAACTCTTGGGCTACTCTTTTACCAACATTGACCATCACATTATAACGCCCCCTTTGTTGAAATGGTAAGAATGTTTGGTGGGACGAGGATTCGAACCCCCAGATTGCGAGTGGAGCGCCTTCACCTGTCCATACCAGGCCCATCTTGATTTTAAACTTCATTATAATTCGTTCACTCCGAAACGAGGTTTTTATTGTTTTAGGTTTTAGAAATATTACATAAACTTACATCGAAAACACGTCATTATGTAGTTTTATGCTTGATAATAAACAAACAAACAAACTTTAGCCAGAAAAATAATAACATTCATCTTCTTAATCTAGTGTAAAATAATACTTGAATTATTTAGTCGTTTTAACCCATGTCACATCTCATTCATTCGTATTGTTGACTGGTGTTGCTTTAATCAGAATGTCCTCATTTAGTAAAATATAACTAGTTTCTATTGGAACTGTCATTCCATTGAATTAAATGGATCTGGCTAATAAACGTGTTTTCTTTTAGTAAAATATAACTAGTTTCTATTGGAACTGTCATTCCATTGAACTAAATGGATCTGGCTAATAAACGTGTTTTCATTTAGTAAAATATAACTAGTTTCTATTGGAACTGTCATTCCGTTGAACTAAATGGATCTGGCTAATAAACGTGTTTTCCTTTAGTAAAATATAACTAGTTTCTATTGGAACTGTCATTCCATTGAACTAAATGGATCTGGCTAATAAACGTGTTTTCCTTTAGTAAAATATAACTAGTTTCTATTGTAACTGTCATTCCATTGAATTAAATGGATCTGGCTAATAAACGTATTTTTCTTTAATAAAATACAACTAGTTTCTATTGGAACACACGAAACGGGATTCCCTTGAATTAAACTGGTTTCTTTTACTGCCAGTTATAAAAGATTTATTTCATGCCATAAGAAGCAACTATATTTTCGCAGTAAGTGAAACTTCATTTTCCTACATATTTCTTTTGAAGGTACATCTTTAAAGAAACGGTAGAGCCGAATGGAAAGGTGTCTACAGTTAGAATCACTTCCGTCAGTCGTAGAGAATCTGGCCTGTTTGTCTGCAGCGTGGAGAATGCTTTTGGAAGAGGAGAGACGGGTTTCCAAGTAGTGGTTCAAGGTAAGTATACACACTTTAATACAGTAATTTGTCATTTTCTGTGTACCAGCTGATTCATGATTCAGTTCTTAGAATTATCATGAGATAAAGTGTATATACAAACAAGAACGTACACCACTTATATTTAATTTAATATTTTTCTTAGATGAAAAAAAAGTGTAAAAGATTTTACAGCAGTTACGCATAAGATGCGCTTAAGGATTTTTTTAACTGTCTACAAATTCCTTTGGAAGATGTTTCGTGTGTTAGTACAAAGTATATGACAAATTTATTGGGGAAACAATTTTTAATACAAACTGTACTTTTTGTGATCTAAGTGAAGGGATGTTTATAAAAGTGATAAAATATCGAATAGTTTATATAACGAAATCCACACTAAAACATTATTTTATCTAATTATATAATCCATAAATTGTGGAAAACTATTGCCAATAGGCGGCGACTCCGATAAAATGTTGCAATCGGGTTACAAGCAAATATTTTAATTGCAAAAAAGGTTGATTAATAGAAGGGTTTTTAACGTGTTTTATATGATTAAAAAAAACCACACCACTACCATGACACTTGTAAGTCAAACTGGCTGGGAAAACAACGACGACTAATTAAATTGTTATTTGAAGTACTGTAGAACAAACACATTAAAATAATTGTGTATTAAGTCCCTCACGGAGCATTTCAACACGTACAAGTTAAACGTTTTTACAAAATGTGTAGTAGCCATGTTTATCCCAATGAAATACCAAACTTAAAACAACGGGAGGCCATTACTAAGGCTGTGAAGATCGATAAGTGGTACGTTTTATTCAATACGATGAAATTAAAGTAGACAAAATTAGTACATCTAAACAAGTCTTGCACCTTTTTATTTTTCATAAATATAGTTGTTACTTTGTAGTTTACAACACCTAGAAGTACGTGGTTGGGGTTAGATCAGTTGAAGAATAAACTAGAATAGAAGTTGGCCATTTATGAATAGTAAATTATTAAATTTAATCATAACTCGGTAAAGAACTCTACATTTATCTACACCTAGCATTTTTCCAATGAAAAATTGTACATTCAAGCAACTAATCTCACAGAGAAACCGGACCCGCCTAAAGACTTCAAAGTCAAAGACAAAAGCAGTCGATTTGTGTCCATCGTGTGGGCTCCACCTTTCAATGGGAACAGCCCGGTAACAAAGTATCTGCTGGAAGTAAAGTCGACATCGGGTAAGGGAGAAATAGGATTACTTTGATGAAATTGTAATCTGATATTTAAAGAAGACTTAATCTAGATTATTCATTGTAAGTACTTATTGTTTCACCATGTGAAAATCATCTGTTTTAAAGAACAATTGATTAAAACATGTTCACTATTTAGGTCCATTTTTCAAGCGCATCTGTTCAAATACGAAAATCTGTGTAAATGAAAAATTTTCTGTATTCTTCTTATCCCTGTATAGATTTTTGGACCGAGGACAGTAATATTATAGCTATTGAAGCATCAAGAACTCAGTACACAATTCAGGATTTACAGCCGTTATCGTCATACAAAATACGCATGCGCGCAAGTAATACCCTCGGAGCCAGTGACTATAGTGACGTAATAATGGTTACAACTGATGAAGAGCGTAAGTAGCTTATAATATTTAGACTAGATGTACTTCCGAAAGTGTTCTGCTTCAAGAGTAAATAAAACCAAATTTAAGAGTAACAAATATTATTTCTGGTTTTTCAAGTTCTTATGTCATGCTGTGTTGTACCATACAGAGTGTGTAATTCTTCTCGTGATTCATGGCATACTGACGTCACGACAGTACAAATTGCAATGTCAAGTGTTGTCTGACAGTTAGTCAGTCAGTCAGTTGACACTGTGACTCCTCCAGACAGCCTTCGGTCCCCTTTCGGAGAAATTAATAATATTATGTGGATCAGATTGTAATATATTTTTGGCTGTGTAATATTATTATACTGAATAATTATAATTTGTCTGTTCCCGCGAAAACTTACACCATAAGCTACCTGAGTTTGGATTTTAACGTTCTAACTCTATGAATTTACCGCTGATCTAGTGGAGGACTAGGGGTTTGTTTGTTAAGCACATAGCTACACAATAGGTTACTTCTGCCGTGCCCACAGCGAGTATCAAAACCCGATTTGTACGGGTTATAAGCCCGTAGACTTACCGCTAAACCATGGGGGGAGGAGCAAAAAAAAAATCTTTATCCATTTAAATTAATAATTGAGTGTCTCGATATACTGAAAACAACCTTTCGTAACCGTAATTGGATTTCACGTTATTTCATTAATATATATTTAACTTTTTTTATGTGATCAAATACACTTACAATCAAAATTTGTTTATGTTTTTAAGCTCAAATATTTAGTGCTATAACTCCACAAATGTACCGCTGATACGCCAGGTGGCTTATTATTAAAATGAGATAAAAAAAACTAAGACTATTATTTTAAAATTAAAAGCTGTTTCTTGTTCTTTCTGTTAGGCGGAGTTGCTTTTAGACGGCTTATTTTTCACTCGCATGGAATATATTTAATTCATAACATTTGATGCTATTAACCACTGATGGTAAGTGTGTGTGGGCACAGCTCAGATAGCCCATTGCACAGCTTTAAGCTTAGCAACAAACAAACAAAATACACAAATTAAAATGTGTGGTCGCAAAATATAAACATATTATTTAATATCATTCAGTCAGAGTTTTATCATAAACTCGTACAGACGTTAAAAAAGTCTGATAGGAAAAGGAATGGCTTTTCTCTACCTGTTCAACAGGGACCTTTTTAAAATTTAATAATTAAACCTCTGTTAAAGCCGCCATCATATAAGGCTCCCAATACAATAGATGATGTGGTGTAAACGTAACCCTATCATTATAAAAGTTAGTTGGTAGTTTATAAATACTAAAGTACTAACCACCGAGTCTTTTAACGACAGTATTTCTTATTTTCATATTTCTATTCATGAATCATTGAGCATGAAACTACATTTTAATGAATTCTTGCGTCAAAACTTATTATGACGTAGTTTAAACATAAATATTAGTTTTATTTATCTATTTGACCACTAGGTTTTTTGTACTTTTTTTGTTGTTGTTGTTGGTAAGTGCAAAGATATAAAATAGGGTATTTAAGCTGTGCCCGCCACTTAGTCACTGTGATCCAATATTATTCTGTATCTTGATAATAATATAAAACAAAAATCAAAGATAAGGTTTATAAACAACTGTTGTCCTTAGGCAACACTGCCGTAAATACCCCTGGAGTAGACTGACAGTCGAAAAGATTAAAAAGAAAAAAAAATCTCAAAATAAACTTGTGCCTATAAACTTTGCAGAATGTGTTTTGTTTTACGCTAAGGCAGTTGACGAGTAATGTTTGTTTTGTTTTTTTACGCTAGGGCAGTTGACGAGTGATGTTTGTTTTGTTTTTTTACGCTAGGGCAGTTGAAGAGTGATGTTTGTTTTGTTTTTTACGCTAGGGCATTTGACGAGTGATGTTTAGGTTTACACATAACCAGCGTTCGTGTTTCCCTTTTGTCATGTAAATAATTATTGGAAATTTTTCAGCACCTGGTGAGAAACCCCGAGAAGTAACGGTTTCAGCTACAGGATCCCGATCGATCCACGTTGTTTGGAAGGTGAGTCGTAAATGATCTTCTATGTACAACAAGAAAAATACGTGAGGATCGATCAAAACATCTAAGTATAAGTTTATACCAAAAAAGAAAAAGAAATACTGATATCATGTCATTTGGGCACTTCCTAAGTTACGTAGCATTTCCTGCAGATACCATCTTACGAATATATATAGTGCAATATTTATGACGGCCACCTTCTGGCTAAAATTAACATCTTAAAGCAACAGGAAATTAAACCTGGCATGTCTTTTACACTTCTTTTTGTTATAAATTTGAATAACTGTTGCTAAGCTCAAAGTTTGAACACAGCTGAAAGAAGTTGCGGTTATAATATTTTAGCGAAAAGCTATAATAAGGTTATCTGCGCTTTGTGAATTGTGGGAATTCGAACCCCGGATTTTAACGTTGTAAGTTCGTAAACTTACTGCTGACTCATGACCCACCGGGAGGGGAGTGGGTTTAAATGTGATGAAAATGCGTGAGAAAACTTCCAAGAAGTAAAGTTAGTTTTCATACATAAATGCTTACGTACAATGTTAAGGTTGCCCTTTCATAAGTTTTAGTTAGCATTTATAATTCTAGGTGGCAGCAGTGAGTCGCTGAGCTAAATTATCATTACAAAATCCTATCAATTCCGATTTATTTTTTTACGAACAGAGAAATAAGGTATCACAAATTAGTACTCAAAAGTCATAACCAAATTTACATTAAGTTTAATTCAAAATATGTTTCTGTTACAGATTATAATTACCTTTGTCTGGATGCTTCAACGACAAACATTAGGAATGTATTTTATTTTAAATACAAGCATGATCAAGAAGACCTCACTGAGGATGCTTTAAAAACGTACGTGTTAAGAATCGTCTGCGTTAGATTTCACTTAACTTGTAGCTTATTAGGCAAATATGATTAATAGTTATTACTATCCATAACCAGACGGCGTTGACGATTAAAAGTATAAGCATAAAGTGATCTACGTTTATCCTGAATGGTTAATTGTTGTTCCCTAATGTATTATTTATTAACCAAGTATTTCATAACGCTAAGTTTCTCATCATCCCATCAAAGACGATTGGTTGACTGTTAGTTGATTGTTTGGTGTTTTGTGGCGCAAAGCAACTAGGTTATCAAAGACGAATGAAACAAGCTGACCGGTGTTATTATAACACAAGCACTTCTTCGATAGAGTAAAATCTCCTATAAACTTGCAACAACAGTT